TTTTTTTAAATATTTATTTTCTACTCTTTGGTCGGGCGAACTTGTTTTTTTCATTAAGTTGTTTTGGACGCGCCCGTATTAGCCCGTGGGGATGCTGCTTGTTTCCTCTTGCATTTGTCCCCCACCCCCTCCCTCTTCTGCAGGTGTTTCTACCCTCAACCCTCTAGTCCCCCGAACCGGATCTCATTTGCTGCATTCTTCTCGCTTACTTGACATGCATCCCTGATTAATGTTTCTGCTGCCCCCGCCCCTCTCCCTCTCCTCAGTGCTACACAACTCATCGCCATTCTCAACACGCCCTCCGGCCAACAGCCCCCCCCCCCCATAACAAATTCCTCTTCTACCCTTCGGCCCGTCCACCACCACGGCACCAACCCCCGGTTCTGCCGGTCAGCCCGCCTCCAGGAGGGACACACGACAACCACCCCACCGCCCTTGATGATCGCTTCCTTCCCTTCGAGTTTTGATAATTATGGGAAAAAATAAGCGGTAAGCACAAATGTTTATCAAAAAAATGCCACAGATGAAGGTAATAATTGCAAAATTGCTTTTTTTCGATTTTACGATACAACGGATTCAAATAATTCTTACCATATTTCTCGTGGACAACAAGAAATATCCCTCGATTGTTGTTATGTAGAACTCGGCCGCGAATTTTCATCTTGGGTGCCGTTTGTAAATGTATTACGAAAACTTGTTGGTTTAGTGAATCATTTGCTAAACTGTGCACTGATAAACGTGATAAAGGCGTGCAACTGCACGCTGAATACTCTGATGCAAGTACTCAACGTGCTGATGCAGATGCACACTTACAAGTGTTACAAGCAGTAGTTACACACTTGGTTTGGTGTATCAGCGTGTAAGCTGTGCTTCGTATCTCTTGAGAGCGCAACGGCAGCATGTGACCGCGTGGCGGCGCCCCTCAGCACTGCGCAGCAGAGGCTCAGCCGCCCTCAGTCCTTCTCATCTCCGTTTGAATACACTAAGCAGACTTAAACCCTGACCCCCCCCCCTCCAGCTCCACCCTCCTCGCTGGCCTAACCCTTTTCCCTTGCCAGTCTTCCCCGCTCCAAGTTCAATGCCTCGCTAAGAAAGCGGGGAGGGCTCAAATCCCCCCGCCTCCCCCCTTTTCCGTCTGCCTGCCCCTGCTGTGGCGCCTGTGGCTCGCACAGCGCAGCCAGGTCCGTCTGCTGGTCTAGCGAGGCTGACGAGGAAACAAAGCCCCCGACCTGATTTATTCATCTGCGCAAACCAGCGTGGCAGGGCGGCGGGGCACCCAGCCCAGCCGGGCCCTTCCCGCAGACACGGCAATTACAACATGTCTGGGGAGGTCCCCCCCCTCCCCCCCAACCACCTCCCCTGCTCCTCGGCGACGCTCTCGATGCCAGTGCGCGAGGCGGGCGCGACCCGGCGGCGGCCGGCCCCGCGAAATGTCAACCTCGGCCGGGCGGACCGAGGAGCCAGCCAGGCAGCCGGCCCGCCCGCTAGCCGAGCCACCCGCAGCGGAATTAGAGGGTTAGTTCCACAACTCGCCGCGCCGATCCCTCCTCCTCCCTGGCGTTTTAACTTTGTGTTGTTTGCCTTTAGTTCTGTTTTATCACATTTCTTTGAAGTAGTGATCGGCTAAGCATAGCAGAGGCCGCCGAGCGGTTACCTGCGGCAGTGAGGCGAACAAGTGCATCACACTCCAGAGTGTTAAAGCGGTTAATGCTCCGTATTTTCATCACAGATTCTCGTACGCAGTGCATAGTTTGTTGTACTCTGTGTGTTGTATATAAAATTCTATGGAGGACCTGCGCGTATTCCTGTCAGTGAATGATCGAAAAATTGGAGAGCATATACTTTCCGCTTTCGTGGGTGCAGGATCTCAACGGAGAAGTTGCCACGCCGTGCGGTGGCGCCAGGGCGCGCCGGGGTCCTGGCCCTGAGTGACAATCAGCCGGATTGGTCCGGATTGCTCCCGGGGCGCTCCCTCTCTCCCCTTCACCTGTCCGTCAACGGGCGCGGTCGGGCATCGGCACGGCTCCTCTCCCCCCGCGCGCTCCTCTTCTGAGCGGCGGTGGAGAGCAGCAGACTGTGCAGAAACCACACGCCCTCTGCATCACACACGCGCGCCGTGCACTCACACAGAGGCAGACAAACAGCTGCAAGAGCGTGTGAGCAGGGGCTGCATTTATACATCTCGCTGTGTGTGTGTGTGTCTTT